CTCCCTTTTTTCTGAATTTTAGTCACCCAAACAACAAATATGAACCACTTTCCTAAACATGCAACAGTCTTCTGAGTCCATAGCTCAAATTTTGTAACTCAAACATATTTCTATTTGAAAAATAAAAAATAAAAACAGGACAGAAATGAAACATGAAACAAAAACTGAATAGAGAAAGCTACTTCAATTCATAAAATAAAGTATTGTAAAAAAATCCAATAATAGTGCCTTTGATAGCTAAGATTTTGTTGTTGTTAAGCACCATGGAGCCAGTTCAGAATTATGAAAAGGTTGTAGAACAGCTATGTTGAGATGTAATAATAGAACTTCAGAGAAATTCCTGTCAAAATAAAAGTGAAAAAAAATTCAGATGCTCAGTGAGACAAATGGGGAAAAAAAAAGGAGGATATTTACACCTAATAAGTAAACCAATGATGAGGGAGCAGAAAGACACCTTAAATAAAACACACACCTTTTTGTTCCCATTAAGATATACAGCCTTGGAAACTCTATACAGGGCTGCTGTGAGTCAGAATTGACTTGAAGCCACTTCACAACAATTTACCACAAGGAGTCCTGAATAGTGTTGTAGGATGAGCACTTGACTGCCTACTGCCAAGCCGATGGTTTAAACCTACCAGTTGCTCCTTGGAAACTTAAAACAAGGTCAGTATGAGTCAGAATTGACTCTAAGGTAGTTAGCAACAACATATTGAAAATGTAACAATGAAAGAACAATCATTCATAGTGCATGTCAAAAGTTACCGTGATCAATGGAGGAGCTAATAAAGGGCAGTATTTCAAGCTCTATGGAGTCCTGTGTGGCACTATGGGTTAATGGTCAGTCTGTAAACTCATTTGAACTGCAAAGTCAGTGGTTCAAGCTCACCAGCTGCTCCTTGGAAACACTATACAGGATTGCTATGGGTCAGAATCGACTCGAAGGCACTTAACAACAACAACGGTGTTCTAGATCAAGAAAGCAACTTTCAGCACAGTACAAGACAAAGCTAATAGTACAGTAGTCAAGACAGACTTATCCTATTCCAAATGATGTGACAAGAAACCACTGCCATAATTAAAAGAGGAATTAGGATTCCACTGTCCTGTAGTCTCCCAAAGCACAAAGACCTGAAGACCAACAAGAAATCAGATCTGGGGGGCAGATATTAGTATGTTGTTGTTGTTGTTGTTAAGTGCCGTCGAGTTGATTCTGATCCATAGTGATCCTGTGTAGGGTTTCCAAGGAACAGCTGGTTAGCTTGAACCACAGACCTTGCAGTTCAAACGGCTTTGCAGTCTGACGTATTAGTCCACAGTGCCACACAAGGACTCCAGATATTAGCATAGGTGACAAAAATTGATGATAAAGGAAAACTTAAAGTTCATCATGCTGTTATTAAGTGCCATCAAGTCAGTTCCTGTAGGACCGATTGCACTGCTTTGTAAGTTTTCCAAGCCTGTAAATCTTTATGGAAGCAGAATGCCTCATCCTTCTCTTTTCAAGTGGCTGGAAAAACAGCAATGTTTTCTTGAACATATCACATCCACAATGGAAAAAAAGTTAACTTTTAAGAGACAGATTTGAATCTTGCTAGTAAAAACTCTGGTAGAATATGTCTACACAGTTTATCAATATGGATAAAAATGATATAACATTGTCAGCATGTGATCACACAGCTGTTAGACTCATATTTTCCTGGTAACCTAGTATTTCCATGACCACCTTACAGACCTTTCTTAATCATTAGATGACTAAATGAAAGGAATGTGACAGATTTTTACAATCTAATATTAAGAATATTGTTTTGATTCAATATGATGTCTAGAATTCATGTAATAAAATGATTAAAACCAAGGAAAAATATTTCCTATGCTCATATAATATTCATACAGGAATGCAGTAGGAATAATAAGGAAAGAATGTTTGTATAGAATCCCACATACATGTTCAAACAATAATCACAAAAATTAGTTTGCTTTATTTTGTGGGCTTCAGAGCCAGACAATAAGCAGCAGCAAATCACTCTTTAATGGGCTTGCCGATTGCACACAGCATAAGAAAGAATGAAGCATCAAAGATTTAATAAAATGTTCATTTGTGAAGTCTAATAAAAAAAAATTACATTACTTTATCCATGAATAGCAAAAGTAATATTTTGAGTCTTTTCCAGTCACCTGTGGATCTGGAGGAAAAAGCAACTGAAAATAACCATTAATTCTAGAGGAAAGTGTTTTACTGTTTACTAAAGAAACTTAGTAATAATTCAATGATTCTATTTAAATCCTTCTGGGGGTGGTGATTAAACAAATACAACTTTCAATACTTTCTATGAGATTGTATTATGATGCTTAACTGAGTAAGATAAAATCAAACAACGCAAATAATTTTGAAATCCAAACTATTATTTTAAAAAGATTGAGTCCACTCTCTCTACAGATATATAATTCTTATTATTGCTGTGACAAGAGTTTTCTTAAGGCAATGCTAAGGACTTATGGATTAACATTTTGGTAGGCTACAATTGTAATGCCATAGAACAAGTACTCGATCTCAAGGTCAGTTTGAACCACAAGGTTGATGGTTCAAGTTCAGCAGTTTCTTCTTGAAAACCCTATACAGGGACCCTGAGTCAAAACCGACTCGATGTCACTTAACAACAACTATAATACAAAATGTACAGCTCAGATGTAAATAATGATAAAAACAAAAGAAAATAATTAATTTTTCAACATTAATTAAAGGACAGATATTTATATTATTTCCATCACACATTGGAGAGTGAATTTGAATTGTTATCACCATAAAGAAGCACCTGAGAGGGTAAAAAAATAAAAGCAGCTGGTCTTAAGTTATTATAAAAACAAAAGAGTAGTGCTTCTGTTTTTGTTTGTTTACTGGTTATATCCTGGGTCCTAGTATGGCACTGTAGGATAAGCACTGGACTGCTATATTCAAGGTTGATGATTCAAATCTACCAACTGATCCTTGGAAAACCTATACATGGTTGCTATGAGTCAGAACTTGATTGAACTACAAGGCACTTTGCAACAACTTTCTTGATAAAATATTTGCGGGGAGCGCATAACTCTCATTGCTTGGCAAGGCCGCACTGGGGGGAGAGACTCTCAAAAGCTGACCCCTATCTTCCCTTAAAGTTAGCTCTGAATTTACTTGTAAAAATATATAATATGGCAATATTCTCAGCTTTCACAATGAATTCTACAAACCTTAGGAAAAACTAGCTTAGCAGCAATTGCTTTCAGCCTTGGTGGATTGAATACAAAGAGAAATTGTGTAAATTACTTCTTCTCATAGAAAACCTAAGTAACTGCATTTGTGAGGCCACAAAAGCAAATAGCATATTAGAGTCAAGCTGACCTACCCCCATAGGCCTCACCACATTCAGTCATTAGCTAGAATTCTCAAACCCCTACATACAGACACCTGCGTAAACAAGCAGACAATAATGAACTTAAGTGAAGGATAGTTTTTACTTAATAATCTACACTTCTTGCAGCAAGTAGCCAAGTTGGGCTTTATGCCACATAGCTTCCAAGTGATTTAATGAATACCTTTATTATGAAAATAATAGCACATTATGTAGGATAGAAAGTTTATAATCTTTTAGTAGCAACAAGAAGAAACAGTTTTACCTCATACTGGGACAGAACATGAAGGTCAGTCTGAACATCACAGAGTATTCTTGTTAAAGTTGTCTAAGGACCAGGTGCAAGAATGTTGTGACTAATGTGTAATAATTCAAGAAATGATAAAAGTGTCAATGCATGTACTGTGTAATTTTAAGTATAAAAAATAAAGACTTGCTGAGCTGGGCTGGCAGAGAAAGGAGAAAGAGGAAAGCAGAGAGCAGGAGTAGAGGCAGAAGTGGCAGAAGGCAGTAGAGGCAGAAGGAAGTAGAAGTGGCAGAAGAAGCAGAGAGCAGGAGGGAGAAGGCAGAGGGCAGACAGCAGAGAGCAGAAAGCAGAAGCAAGGGCAGAAGCTGGAGAGCACAGCCAGACAGGACAGCAAGTTGAAAAGCCTTTCGATTGTATTCCTTCATTTCTTCACCAGAAGATTCCGATTCCGCATATTCGCTAGTGTCCCTCGACCCCCGCGGAGATATACACTTCTTATTACTGCTGTAACAAGAGTTTTCTTAAGGCAATGCTAAGGACTTATGGATTAATATTTTGGTAGACTACAATTGTGATGCCATAGAACAAGTACTTGATCTCAAGGTCAGTTTGAACCACAAGGTTGATTGTTCAAGTTCAGCAGATTCATCTTAAAAACCCTATACAGGGACCCTGAGTCAAAACCGACTCGATGTCACTTAACAATAACTATAATACAAAATGTACAGCTCAGATGTAAATAATGATGAAAACAAAAGAAAATAATTTTTCAACATTAAAAAAAGGACAGATATTTATATTATTTCCATCACACACTGGAGAGTGAATTTGAATTGTTATCACTATAAAGAAGCACCTAAGAAGATAAAAAAATAAAAGCAGCTGGTATTAAATGATTATAAAAACAAAAGAGTAGTGCTTCTGTTTTTGTTTGTTTACTGGTTATATCCTGGGTCCTAGTACGGCACTGTAGGATAAGCACTGGACTGCTATATTCAAGGCTGATGATTCAAATCTACCAACTGATCCTTGGAAAACCTATACATGGTTGCTGTGAGTCAGAACTTGATTGAACTACAAGGCACTTTGCAACAACTTTCTTGATAAAATATTGAAATAGATAACATAGACTCAATAGTTGCACTGCTAGTCAAGAAAGAATTCAGAGTACTGTCTAGTCTAGACTCAGACATTTTACAAATTTCTAATTGAAACTGAAAATGTTACACAGGAAACTTTTAAAAACGCACATTTACAAACCTGATTACCTTTTCCTTTTATGGAAAAGCATGAAGACGGCTCATAAAGTAATACTGAAAAATAGTTTAGGTGAACTAAAGTAAGCGCCGAAGGCCTCCTACCTTAACATTGCATTTTTCCCATCACTTCTTGTACACCAAAACTGTCGGGTCTGATAACCTAGCTCTAAGTCCCATGGCTTGGAATGGTGATGTGGCTTGTAACTTTGATGTCTAAAGGTGACTCGCTCCTTTGAGTCGGAACTAAAATCCAAGACATTTCTTCTGCTTAGGTTAATTTCCTTAAAGTGAGGCAGTCTGCATTTACTCCACGGGCCAACCTTTAGTCTAAAAGTATATCCTTCTTCCCCGAGAGGACAGGCCACTAGAGTATCACAGGCCCTGGACTCAGTCAAGTTTGGACACTGTAATCCACCGTAGAGTGGGGGCGCAAGGGCTGTGCGTGTTCTGTGCTGCAATTTCTTCCCGCACCCTTTGCTACACTGGGACCATGGAGAGAACTCAGATACAACACAGTCCCGGGGGCACGGAATGAGGCAAGCTTGTTCGGTGGGGGGCTGAGAGGCAAAATGTTCACAAATTTCGTTTGCAACCACGGTTCTGTTCAGTTTCTGAATGCAGCGCACTGTCCGGTGCTGGAGTCCGTGCTGAGCTGTCACACACTCGGCAGCATGAGGCTTAACTTCCCCGAGGACATAAGGAACCAGTGCGCAGTGATGCCAATCGGACACTTCCCACTGGAAGAGCTCACTGTGCCAGTCACAGATGCGGAAGCAACTTCTTTCCTTGGCAGGCTTGTTGCTTTCTTCACAGTTCGACAGGTGGCTTGTCCACCCTTCCACATGAAAACACCACAGTGCACGACTCTGCACTCCACCTGGCCCACAGTCTCCAGCACACCTTCCCCAGGGGCCTAGAGGCAGAAAAACAGGTGTGTCAATCTCTCAGCGATGATGGGCAGCAATTCACAGGAAAATAGGAGTCAAGGTGCACACTTCCCAACACAACGCATTTCCAAGCATGAATTTTTGGTGGAACACAGACAATGCTAGTATAATTCAGCAAGGTTGTAGCACACTTTTTGGGGGGCTAGCAAAGTTTTAACATCTTAAATCAGATTCAAATGATATAAAGACAGTTACCATATAAAGCTAAAGAAAACTTTTGAAAAATACTATAGATTTTTATATAAATTCCTGTCTCCCTTTGCTTGTTTAGGTATCACATGCACTCAAATTTTCACTCATAAATTTTTTTATGGATTCAAGAAAATATGATCAGAAAAGTGAAGGAGCTATTTCTAATCAGTTGTGAAAGTGTAATATTAAATTCAATTTATCTAAAACATCTTACACCAAGTGACCCTGATTCCTACTTTTAAAGCAATTGACTGGCACATTTTCTTCTTCATATAGAATTGCTTTCTTCTGATTATATTATTTTTTAAATAAAGTACTGTAATGGCTTTTGTCTTTAAAGACATTAATAGTTAAAACTTTACGATTTATCCTCCTTCTTTAGCTATTATATCCTCCATCAATACAAGATTTTACCAAATAGCAACAAATTTTCCTAGCTCAATGGAAGACAAATATAATTATTAAGATGCAATTGCTGCCATTTCTTGAACGCTTTCAGTGGTATGCTGAACTTCGATGAAGATTGTTAAATATTTAGAACTTGGCCCTAAACTGGTTGTTAAACCATTAATAATCTAAACTCAGCCCTGATGAGAAAAGTAGCTGCACTGGTTCAAATACAAACCCAGGCTTCCCATACCCCCACCCTCTAGCACTCCAGAGGTAAGGGGTCAAGTGCCTTACATACTTAATTCCTATTTTGTACAAGAGCTCCAGGAGGTGGAGTTATTGTTGTTGTATGCTGTCGAGTCAATTCTGACTCATAGCAACCCTGCATAGGGTTTCCAAGAAGCAACTGGTGGAACTGAACTTCCAACCTGGTGGTTAGCAGTCCAGTGATTATCATACAGTACCATACCAGGATTCCCAAGGGAAAGTATGTTCATTTGATTACATGGACAAAAAGAAACTCACAAAACTTAAAAAGCATACCGAAGGCAACACAATTAACACATGGTATACTACAATCAACGGCACACAACAACAACAACAACATACTACAATTAGAACCCAGGTGTCTAAATCGAAACTTGTCTTATTAAAAAGGCTTTTCCAGGTTCACAGTGGCATGTGTGATTTAAAAATCACAAGACAGACTTGTTTCTTTGCTGAGACATGGTTTATCCTATTTTTGATTAACATTCCTTTGAAGATGAGTACAGAAAGTAACAAAAGTGTAAAGTGATATGGGAATACTTATGACACAATAGCAGATTAGACAAACATTACACAGACCCTCTAGAGCAAAGACAGAAGAGACAGATAAAAATGATAATCCTGGAACTCTAAAACTCAGAGAAAAAGGAAAGAAAAATGGATTGGATACTGAGTAGGAGAAGAAGTTGCATAGGGACAGTAAGAAAAGACAAAGACAGGTGAATTGTTGGCTGGCCTGACTTAGTGTAGCCATCTTGAACTTTTCTGAGTATCATTCGATCCAGATATTGGCCTGACAGCAGAGAGGCATACGGGTGGCATAAACTTCCCTGGTGACTAGAGGTGTGACCAGCCCCACCCTCATCCACAAACTGCACACTCCCTATTCTGCCCAAGGTTGAAGCCATGTCATTGTGAGTGTGGCACCGGGTGCACCACCCCAGCACTTGAAGAAAGGTCAGCTCACAATTGTTCCCTTTAAGCTCATTGTTGTTGCCACAGTCACTCCATCTTTATGGGATCTTCTTCTTCTCTGACTCTCCACTTTACCAAGGATGATGTCTTTCCATAGGGACTAGTTGCTCCTTGTTAACATGTCCAGAGTATGAGAGAAATGTCACCATCCTGACTTCTAAAGAGCATTCTGGCTGCACACCTTTGTTCTTCTGGCAGCCCATGATACTTTTAATATTCTTCAAATGCACTGATTCTTCTTAATTGATTCTTCCTTATTAACTGCCCAACTTTCACAAGCAAATGAGGTAATTGAAAATACTATGGCTTGGAGCAGGCCAACCTTAGTCCTCAAATTTATACCTTTGCTATTTTCTTCATTTGTCATGATGGTGTTTATTGTCCCTGTTGTGAGGAATTCTGATTGCTTTACACTGAGGAGCAATCTATACTGGAGACTGTAGTTTTGATCTTCTTCAGTAATTATTGGAAGCAAGGTTGTATTATCTGAAAATCACAGGTTGTTAATGAGCCTTCCTCCAAACCTGATGCCAGGGTCTTCCTGTAATCCAGCTTCTTGAATTTTTTGCTCAGCATTGAATAAGCACAATAAAAAGATAAACCCTGCCCGATAAACCTTTTCTGATATTAAACCATGCAGTATCCCCTTGTTGTGTTCGAATGAGCACAGGCTTCTCATGAGCACAATTAAGTGTTCTAGAATACCCATTTTATTAAACACTGTCCATAGTTAGTTATGATTCACATAGTCGAATTTTTTGCATAGTCAATAAAGCAGAAGTAAACATCTTTCAGGTATTCTCTGTTCCAGCCAAAATCTATATGATGCCAGGAATTATATTCCTAGTTCTACATCCTCTGGTTTGAATTTCTGGCAGTTCCCTGTCAATCTATACTTGCAATCATTATTGAATTATCATCAGCAAAATTTTACTTGCATGTGATATTAATAATATTATGTGATGATATATAAATTCCTTTGGGTCACCTCTCTTTGGAATAGGCATTGATATGGATCTCTTCGAATTGGTTGGCCAGGTAGATGTCCTCAAAACTTCTTGGCATAGGAAAGTGAGCATCTCCAGTGCTGCATCAGTTTGTTGAAAAATTTCCATTGTTTTCTGTCAGTTAACTGGAGTCTTGTTTTTTGGCAAAGCCTTCAGTACAGCCTGGACATTATCTTTCAGTACCATAGGTTCCTGATAATGTTACCTCTTGAAATTGTTAAACAATGACCATTTCTTTTGGTACAGTGACTTTATGTGTTGTCTTCATCTTCTTTTGATGCTTTCTACATCATTCAATAATTTACCCATATAATTGTTAATTAGTGCTGTGGAGTCAGTTACATTTCATAGCAACACTGTATAGGATTTCCAAGGAGTGGCTAGTGGATTTCAACCATCAACCCTGTATTTCAAACTGACCTTACAGTCTAGTGCATTATCCTGTAGCACTATACAAGGACTCCATAATTTGCCCATAGACACTTTCAATATAGAATGTCAAGGCTTGTTTTTCTTCAGTTCTTTCAGTTTGAAAAATGCTGAGTGTGTTCTTCCCTTTTGATTTTCTAATTTCAGGTCTTTTCACATTTCATTACAATAACTTTACTTGCTTGGTCTTCTCCACTTGTCTTTGCAAATGTTTTATTCAGCTCTTTGACTTCCTCATTTCTTCCTATGTTCAAAGTGAAGTTCAGAGCTTCATATGGCAACCATTTTTGTCTTTTCTTCATTTTCTGTCTTTTCAAACATCTTTTGCTTTTTTCATGTATGATGTTCTTGATACCATCCCACAACTCTCATGGTCTTTGGTCATTAGTGACTGATGCATCAAATCTGTTCTTGAGATGCTATGTAAATTCAGGAAATAGATATACAACATCATACTCTGATTCTTGTGGACTTGTTTTAATTTTCTTCAGCTTCAGCATTAACTTGAATATGAGCAATTGATTTTTTTTGCTCCATAGGTGAATTATGGCCTTGTTTTGGCTGAAGAAAGAACAATTAATACCACTATTGTTCAAATCTAGAGACCAACCATTAAAGCCAGTAGTAATGAAACTGGAGAATTTTACCAATTTCTGTAGTCTGACAATGTTCAAATATGCAATCAAGATGCATTGATAATTACTGGTGATTGGAATGGGAAGGTTAGAAACAAATAGGAAGTATCAGGAGATGGAAATATATGGTGTTGGAGATAGAAATCATGCTGGGAATCCCATGATAGAATTTTTCAAGACCAAATGGTTGTCTAATGACAACAAAGGAAAAGAACTGCATGGTCATATTGATCAATGCAGAGAAGGCACTTGGCAAAACCCAACACACATTCCTGATAAAAACACTCAATAAAATAGGAATAGAAAGGAAATTCTCAACATAATTAAGGGCATCTATACAAAACCAACAGCCAATATTACTCCCAATAGAGGCAAACTGAAAGCATTCCTCCTTTGGAAGAGGAGAATTCAGCATTGTGCTGGAAGTGTATACCAAAAGTATAAGAAGTAATGAGAAATTAAAAATATTCAAAATTGGCAAAGATGAACTAAAACTCTATTTTCAGATGATTTGATCTTATACATAAAAATTCCCAAAGACTCAGTGAAAAACATTATTTGAATTCATTGAAAGTTTCAACAAAGTGACAGGGTACAAGATCAACATATAGAAATCAGTTGACTCCATTATGCTAATAAAGAAAACTCTGAAAAAGAAACCAGAAAAATTATACCATTTACAATAGCCACCCCAAAGAGAAAATATTTAGGAATAAATCTAACCAAAGAAACAAAAACTCTTTACAAAGAAAATTACAACACTACCAAATTACAAAGAACCAAAAGAGACCTACATAAATGGAAGATTATACCATGCTCATGGATAGGAAGACTTAACGTTGTGAAAACTACCAGTAGCAGTCTACATATAATGCAATTCTAATCCAGAGTCCAGCATCATTCTTTAAGAAGATGGAAAAACTAATCACCAACTTTATTTGAAAAGAAAAGAGACCCCGAATAAGCAAAGAACAAAGTCGGTCTCTCACTTCCTAATATCACAACCTACTATACAGCATCAGTAGTCAAAACAGCTTGGTACTAGTACACTGATAGACACATAGATCACTGGAACAGAATTGAGAATCCAGTAGCAAATCTATCCATTTAAGGTCAGCTGATCTTTGAAAAAGGGTCAAAAACACAATGGGGATAGATAGTCTCTTTGACAAATGATACTGGCAAAATTAGATACACATTTGCAGAATGAAACAAGAGCCATATCTCATACTATATACCAAAACTAACAACATGAAGTGTCTGGCTTACAAGTTTTCAAAAGAGAGTTTAGTTTCAGAGTGTGCAGAGGAAAGTAGAATCCTCACTGAATAGTTTTCATCTTGTTTAGATGTCTGGTGAAAGGAGATGGGGATGAGGTTCATATGATCCAATAGTGAGTAATTGTTATCATGGTGAATTACGATTGTCACAACTGTAAAGGCAGACATTGAGTAACAAAAAGAGGAGAGTAGTTAATCTTATAGTCCAGGAACAAAGGACCCTGGGACTGTTAAGGGAAAAGAGCATGAGTGTAATGTGGGTCCTATACAGAGAAGCAGCAATACTAGAGATGGAGGCAGAGATGATGACATGGAGAGACAGACTAGCTGAGGATTTTAGACTCATGGAAAGAGAAAGGCTGTGTGCAGGTGGCCATGAGGAAAGCTTGTAGAATGTGCTTGTTGGTTGCTTAAATAATTATATATTCCTGGGTGTTTTTGTGTACATAAAAAAAAAAAAAAAAAGTGGGAATAGAAGCAAATACTGTTGAATGATGATGCATGGAGGGGATTGTAATCATTACAATGAAAAAAAAAAAAAACAATAGAATGAGAGTGTAAAACCAATGTTCTCCCTTGTAAATTATCACTCAATTCACAATAAAAACTTGAAAAAAGAAAAAGCAACCACTTAAGGTGTCTGGAGGACAGAAGA